GTTAACCCTCCGGGAGCCGATCGCCGCCGTTACCGGGGAAACCCCCGGGGCCCCGCAGCCATCCCGCGGGGGAGGGGCGGCGCCGGCCCACCGCCCGCCCCGCGCCGCCCGGGGGGGCGACAGCCCGCACCCCGCACTGGCACCGGCACCGACAGCGGCACCTGCTCCGTACTCCCACCGGCACCTGCTGCTGCCCCTGCACCTGCACCGACACCAGCACCGGCAACCACACCGGCACCTGCACCGGTACCAGCCCGGGCTGTGCTGCTTTACAGTGAGCCCCAGGACAGCACAGTCCCACGGTGTCACAGCCCCACGGTGTCACAGCCCCACGGTGTCACAGCCCCAGGACAGCACAGTCCCACGGTGTCACAGCCCCACGGTGTCACAGCCCCACGGTGTCACAGCCCCACGGTGTCACAGCCCCAGGACAGCACAGCCCCACGGTGTCACAGCCCCAGGACAGCACAGTCCCACGGTGTCACAGCCCCAGGACAGCACAGCCCCACGCTGTCACAGCCCCAGGACAGCACACCCCCATGGTGTCACAGCCCCACGCTGTCACAGCCCCACGGTTCACAGCCCCACGGTTCACAGCCCCACGCTGTCACAGCCCCACGGTGTCACAGCCCCACGCTGTCACAGCCCCACGGTGTCACAGCCCCACAGCCCCTCCAGCTCGGGGCTTGCACCCCCCTCCCTGGCTCTGGCCCCCCAGGCAGTGGATGCTGTGGTCACTGAGGGGCTTGGCGCCGTTCCCGGGGGCCCTTTGGGTGCGGGGGCCCCTCAGCCAGGGGCCCGGGGGGGCTCAGTGGAGCAGGGCTGGGCTGGGGGGGCCAGGCCGGGCTGTTAAGATGCTAAATTGAAGCCCACCCTGAGAGCCAGGGTGCTGCAGGCCTGGGTCTCCAGACCCCCCTCGCTGTCACCCTGGGTGCTGGAGGGACCAAGGGGGCGGCCGGAGGTGCCCAGCCGGGGGCTGCTCCTGCCCGTGGTGTGAACCCCATCCCCACCTGATCCTACTGCGGCCCCCCAGCCACTGAGAGCCCCCCAGGACGGGGGTCCTGCCCCACAGAGCCGCATGGGTGCCCCTTGCTGGGCCCCGGGAGCCGGGGGGCCGCTGCAGGCGCGTCGGCCACGCTGATGGATGGGGCTCCCTGGGGTCTCCTGGGAGCGGCGGGCGGCGGGGCCGGGGGCTTTGTCTGCTGCCAGAGACGCTGCCGGGAATTAGCATCTGCCAGGGCCTCGGGGGCTCCACACCGTCCTGCAGCAGCTCTGCATCCTCCTCCCCACACGGCTCTGGAGCTTTGCACTGCTGGCACCGAGCGCTCGGCACCCAGCACGGGTCTGAGCCCCGTGGCACTCCAGGCACCCCACGGCACCCACAGAGCCCAGCCGGGACCTGGCAGGCAGAAGCTGGGCCAGGAGGTGAGGATCCAGCTCTTTCATCAGAGCCACTCGCCACCTCGGTCCCCCGCGCCCGCCGGCAGCTCGCCCGGCACGCTCCGCAGCCCCAGGTACCGGGCTCGGGGTGGCACGGGCGCCCCGGGCAGGGGAGCCCGGCGCGGGGCACCGGGCGGGAGCGGTCGGCTGGAATCTACAGCCTCAGATCCCGGGAGCCGGGTGGGTTTCTGTGCGGCCTCGGCTTTGTCTGTGCCGGGGCCGGGATGAATGGCCCATTCAGTTTGTGCCGTCATGTGTGCCGAGGGAGCCCGTGTGCCGGCCAGGCCTCGAACAAAAGGAGCCGGCGAGGGGCTGCGCACGGGGCGGCGAGGAGGGGGCTGCCGGCAGCCCCCACTGCACCGCTCCCGCTGCGGCTCCGCGCCTGGCGGGGGGCACAGCAGCACAGGCTGCACAGCCAGGGTGTGGGCACACATCTGTCCTGGCCTGGCACGGGCTGTACACCCCGTGTGATGGGCTGGACACCCCGTGTGATGGGCTGTACACCCCGTGTGCCCGGCTGGACACCCCGTGTGCCCGGCTGGACACCCCGTGTGATGGGCTGGACACCCCGTGTGATGGGGTGGACACCCCGTGTGATGGGCTGTACACCCCGTGTGCCCGGCTGGACACCCCTTGTGCCCTCTGTACACCCTCTGGGCCTGGCTGGACACCCCCTGTGCCCGGCTGTACACCCCGTGTGATGGGTTGTACACCCCCTGTGCCCGGCCGCACACCCCTGGCACAGCCGCACACCCATCGCACAGCCGCACACCCCTGGCACAGCCGCACACCCCTGACACAGCCGCACACCCATGGCACAGCCGCACACCCCTGGCACAGCCGCACACCCATGGCACAGCCGCACACCCCTGTTGTTTGGCCGCTCTCTCCGTGCCCAGGCAGCAGCGCCATGAGCTGTGGCCGGAGCTGGTGCGGGTGCTGGCCCTGTGCTCAGCAGGGCTCCAAGGCAGTGACACCACGAGTTCCGCGGGGCTCCGAGCCAGCAGCGCTGTTGGGCTGGGGAGCAGCAGCCGCAGGCAGCACACCTGACACCCGATGGTTGCAGGGCTGTGCTGAAGGGTCTCCCAGACAGCTGTGGCCGGATGCCTTCCTCCCTTCCGAGGACCAAGCCCTCACCAGCCTCGGTGCAGATGTGGGCTGGTCCTGCCCGGCTCTGCAGGCTCAGTCACGAGCCAGGGCCACGCGTTACCTGCAGGGCCGTGCCGGGCTCTGGCAGCGCCAGCAGCCGCTTCTCTACGGCGTCCAGCCAGTGCCGCAGGGCAAGCAGCTGCTCTTGCACCTCCAGTCTCTGCTCCGACCGCAGACGGGCTCTGGGGAGAGAGCAGAGACACACCAGGCTGTGGGGGACACGGCCTCTGTCCCCCCCGAGCTCCAGGCTTGCTGCCCACCTGCACCGAGCGCATCACAGCCACACCTGTGCTCACGGCTGTGCTCACACCTGTGCTCACACCTGTGCTCACACCTGTGCTCACGCCTGTGCTCACACCTGTGCTCACGGCTGTGCTCACTCCCTCCCACAGCCAACCCTCGCCCTCCCCACCCCAGACTGGCCCAGACTCCTGACCCGTGTAGGGTTCAGCAGGTCCCCATGAGGGTGCCAGGCACACCGGCCGCTCCCGACACGGCGCGTCTGGCGGTGCCCGTACCTCTCCATCTCCTCCCTGTCCCATGGCGACCCCTCCACGCTGTCCCCGGTGAGCCCAGGGTCTCCTGCAGCGCGGGGCACCTGCAAGCAGAGCAGAGGGACGGTGGGAACAGGACACCGCACCTGGAACAGGGGCAGGGGACGGCCTCGCCCCTGGCATTCCGGTGCGGAGGTTTGGAGTGTTGCTGTGTCTCCCCAGGGACAGAGCTCCCCTGGCCAGGATCCCCCACGGGATCTGTCCCGTGCTCCGGCCATCAGCAGGACCTGCGGCTTTTGGCTTGGTTCCAGCTCCTCTGCATTCCTGTGGGACACCCCAGTTTCTCAGCCTTTTTCAGCTGGGATTACTCCCAGATCTCACCCTGCTGCCTCTCGGTCCCTGGTGTCCCTACACCCGCTCTGTGCACTGCAGAGCCACGCTCCAGCCCCTGGCTGAGCCCAAACCAAGCCATGGCAAACTGACCCCCAGCAAAAAATGACCAACGACAAACTGACCCATGGAAAACCCCCTGCAGTGGTGTCTCAGACCAGATCCTCCCCAGGTGCTGCAAGAGCAGCCACTTCGCCTCAGCACATGGGAGAAGATGCCAGGGAAACACCAAGATCTACAAACCAGCAATGCCCTGGACACGGGACATGAACAGGCAGCAGCAGTTGCTTGGAGCCCCAGTGGAGAGCAGGAGGGATCACACCAAACCTGCACCCAAAGGCTGAGGGTGATCCTGCTCCCACAGCCCGGGAGCCCTGCAATTAACTGGTCGCTAAGCCTGGTGATTAATTAAGCCAGGTCACCTGGCTGAGCGCAAGGAGGGGGAAACAGCACTGTGCATCCCGTGAGGGAAATGGGCACTGCCACAGTGATGCCACAAAGCTGATGACGGGCCCAAGACCTAAAGACACGAGCACATCTCCAAGATACTGTACCAGGGGAATAAGCCAGGGAATGTGGGCTGGATAAACAGGAGATAAAACCCCCGTGGTGCAGGAATGACGAGGCACTGCTGCCGTGATGGACCCGGGGAAGGTGACATAGAGCAGCTGAGCAGGAGCTGCAGCACCAGGGAGTGCCTGGGGTACGTCTGCCGCAGAAGGAACCTCAGCCAGGGTCTGGTCAGGAACCCCACCAGGAGCAGCTGTGAATTCCCTGGATGAGGGGAAGAGGCACCAGGCAGGTGCTGGGTGCAGGTGTCGCAGCAGTTCCTTGTGTTTGGAGTGCCAGCAGGGCTCAGTCCCGTCAGAGACACCTGGGGACGTGTGCTCACGGCAGACACTGCTGCCACGATGCCATCAGCAGGGCCCCACCCTCAGCGTGGCCACCTGCCCCAGCACTGGCACCAGGGCCACCCACCAGCTGGAGAAGCCACCAGCAGCGCCTTGCTTCCTCCTGCCCAGGGCCAGGCCAGTGTCCAGGATGGCACAGCTGTGGCCACCGAGGCTCGCGGGGTTGTGGCAGCTCCGGTGCAGTCACAGGTGGTCCCACAGCCCTCGTGCCCCACACCGCTGGTCCCTGGCCCTGTGCCCCACGGCGAGCCCTCATCCCAGGGCAGGACTGCAGTGTCACCCTGCTGCCAGAGGTTGGGCACAGGGAACCAGGCAGGTGGAGGAAGCTACCGCGGGTGGGCAGACGTTTTCCCTGCACTGGGAAACGCTCTTCCAGCTCAAACTCAGCTCAGACTCAGCTCAAGCTCAGCCTGGGCTGTGGGGCTGGGGCAGGGGCTGGAGCTCCGATGATCGCTGCCAGCCTGTCCCACACACGGTGCCAGCGCGGCTGCTCCAGCCGGGACGTGCCAAGAGACCCGAGACCACGAGGAGCAGCGAACCCCAGACGGGTGCTGGGACGCGCTGGGTGCAGCACAAGCTCTGTGCGGGTCCCACGGCCGCCGCCTGCCCCGGCACACCGGGGGGAGCGGGTCAGAGCAACCCCCAGCGCCGGCTGGGGCACCGGCCACCGCGGGCTGCCCCGGGGACGTGACAGACGGAGCAAACAGCCCCGGAGCTGCCTGACTGCAGCTCCGCGGTGCCGCTCCGGGAGGCTGAGGGTCCCCGCACGGCGCTGCCCGCACGGCAGCACCGCCACCGCCTGGCCCTGAGCTCTGGGGGCTGCCGGTGGCCGGCAGGACGTGGCGGCTGCAGCCCTGGGGCAGCTCCATCCCCGCTCGCAGCCCCGCAGCCCGAGCCGTGGCCGGGGGGATTCACCGGCCCGGCCAACAGAGCTCCGGCACAGCCGGCCGGGCAGGGACCGCGGCGCTTTACTCGGCACAGCCGCCCTTGGCCGGGCTCCGAGCCTCAGAGCCAGGGCCGGGGGGGTCTCGGGGTCCCTGGCCGTGAGGAGGTTGGGCTCCCCAGCGAGGGGGGGGCGTGGGAGAGGCCGGCCCGTCTTTGTGGAGCAGCGGTACAGAGCGTTCCCGGCGCGGCGGGGGCCGAGCCAGCAGCGCCCGGGGCGGTGGGCACAGGGAGCTGGCGGCTGCTCCGTGCCAGCAGGACCGAGCCACGCCTGGCACAGCGGCCACGGCTCCCACGCCACGGAGCACAGCCAGGACGGGGCGGTGCTGCCGCTCACCCCTCAAGGGGAGCGAGGGACCCCGCCAGGGCGCTCGGCTCTCGGTGCCTCATGTGGGATCCCGCAACGCTGAGGGGTGGGTTAACCCGCGGGGGTGGGGAGGGTTAGCTCCAGCCTCCGCAGCAGCAGGGCAGCATGACATGCAGGGCATGAAAATGGGGAAATCATGGAGTTCTCCGTGGTAATGAGTCTGGCCCGGTCACTCACGGTGCTGAAGGACACGGGGTATCAGTGGGGCAGGAGGGTGACGTGGAGCAACACAAGATGATGAAGAGTGTCCGTGGACAAGGGACACTGCGGGAAGAGGCCGGCTCACGCCAGGAGCAGTCAGCCTGGACCTCAGGGCAACCCCCTGCCCACCCTCCATCGCCCCTTTGCCAGACACCGCGGGGGGATGCCAGGGCCTCGGGCACACCAGGCAGGGTCCCAGGGGCACGGGGTCGAAGGGGAGTGGGGAATAGGGTCCCCCCTGGCACATGGATGTGAGTCCTGTGGCTGGGCCTGGGAGCAGGGGCGTTTCTCACCAGAAAACAGAGCTGGACCCCACCAGTGTTGGGGAGGGGGTGTGAGGGGCTACCAGCCCATGACAAGGGACTGGGTCATGGGTCAGAGGGCTCTTGGTGGCCCCGTGAGCTTTAGAAGAGGTTACTGGGCCTGGAGGAGGAGTCAGGAAGCTGGAGGGTAAGCAAGGAATATCAGGGGGAGCAGGGAACATCTGGGGGACACAAGGAAATATCTGGGGGGCCAGTGAGGTGGGGTGGGGCCCCAAGCAGCTTGTGTCACCTGGGGGAGCATCTTGCATCACCTTGGGGAGCATCTTGCTCTCCTGGGACCTCTCCTGAGCCCCCCAATGGCTGCAGCAGCCTGCAACCCCCCCTGGGTCCCCCTGGCCCGGCTGCGCCTAACGGCCACATCCCGCGGCTGGTGGGGACAGACAGACACTGCGGTTAATTGCTGATGGACAATGCAATTAACGTCCTACTCAGGCACCGCCATCTGTCCCGGCCAGCCCGGCCTCCCCACCCGGGGCTGCTGACATGCTTGGCTGGTCCCAGCACGCTTGAGACCCCATCAGCCCCTGGACATTGCCGGGGTCCCGCAAGGTCCTGGCAGCTCTGGTGCTCCTGGCACAGCGCCTGGGGCTCCCAGCACTGCCGGGACCTTTCTGCTCAGGGAGTCCCGGCTGTGCAGGGGTTCCAGTCTCCCTGTGCTGGACAGACCCCTTGAGCCTCCTGTGCCAGTGGCTGCACTGACATCTCCAGGTTTGCCAGGCCTTCCCTTCTGAATGCTGCTGCCCTAGCAGTGGGTGCCAGGCTGAACCCCTGAACCCATCCTGAACCCCTGAACCCATCCTGAACCCCCCTCAGCCGACTGCTGCCATCCACCCACAACAGCCCCTCACTGCCCAGAAAGGGAGAGCCCACGGCTCAGCCCACACCGGGCAGTGGCCACGGCTCAGCCCACACCGGGCAGTGGCCACGGCTCAGCCCACACCGGGCAGTGCAGCCCACACCGGGCAGTGCCCACGGCTCAGCCCACACCGGGCAGTGGCCATGGCTCAGCCCACACCGGGCAGTGCAGCCCACACCGGGCAGTGCCCATGGCTCAGCCCACACCGGGCAGTGCCCATGGCAGCGGCCGGCATGGCCCCAGGCCGGCAGTGGCAGCAGCACACATGGGAACAGGACCATGGAGGACAGTGCCCCTGCCCAGTCCAGAGCCCCACTGATGAAGGGACAGGTCTGTCCTCGTACAAGCGATGCTCAGAAGCCCCCACAGCACCAGCAGCACCCACTCCCCAAAACCAGGGGTCCAATGGCCCGGTGCTGCACCCACAATGACTCCCAGCAGTGTCAGCTGTGCTGCCAGCACGGGGCAGCTCTGGGGACAACCCTGTGGCCCTGCTCTGTCCCTGGCAGCACCACGGGTACCCCCGGGCCCAGCGCTCAGGTGCAGCACCTGCAGCAGGTGTTGGTCAGGCCCTGGCACCCCAGCACACTTCACCACCACCTGCGGCAGCCCATGGCCTGAAGCTGCAGGAGGCAATGGGAGCCCACGGCCACGGCGGCAAGGCCAGGGGGCGAACAGATCACGCAGAGCTGCCGGCTGGTTTCGGAGGATTCTCCTTTACTGCCCTTGCAGGGGAGCCCTGGGTCCACACTGCTCTTTTACAGACACTTGGTGCTATGTACAAGTTTAGTGTTTTGTCCCCAGAAAGAGATGTGACTGGGTCATCGATGGAGCCCCCCTGTCCCGGTGAGTGATGGTCGGGGTGCGGGGGGCCCCGGGAGCGGGGACTGTCCTGGAGCTGCGCGCAGAGGCACCTCATGCAAAGCCAAACGGGGTAATGAGAGCAATAATGACACCAGAGGCGGAGGGTAACATGACTGGATTTACAGGAGGCAGATGAGAGCAGGTGGGAAGGAGGAGATGTTCTGGAGATCCGCAGTGAGCCCGACACCACACCACGAGGCCGTCCCTGGGGAGGAGGGACTGTGTGGGGCGAGTGGGGGCCCTGTGGTGACCCTGTGGGTGTTTCTCGGGCCATTGGCTGCTCGGGCACTGTGGCCCCAGTCTCTGGCCGGGGACTCTGGCAAGTGCAAAGGGTGAGGGAGAACGTCCCTGTGTCCTCAGGCGCGGTCCCACCGGCCTCAGGGCGGGGGACGGGCTCCACGGCGGCGATGAGGGGAGGTGGTATGGACATCCAGCCACACTACAACAAAGCGAACAGAAAAGATGGGATGAGACGGGGAGAACAATCCATGAAATGAAGGCACCGAGCCCGGCCGTCAGTGCCGCGCACCTTCTGTGGGACCGGGCCAGAGCGGGGAGGGCGGTGTTACCTGTGCTGGTGAGCACGGCCGAGCAGCTGCCGCCTTCAGGGCCTCCCTCGAGCCCATCCACGACCTGCTGATGTCGGAGACCCAGCTCAGGAGCTCGCCCAGCGGCACTGGGAGGTCTTTGTTGGGACTGGAAAAAGACGTCTGCCAGAGAGAGAGCGCGTTAGCGCCGGCACAGGGGGAGCCAGAGCCATGGAATTACCGCGAAGGAGGAGAAGGAGGCCGGTTTTACAGAAATCTGCCTATTTCTAACAAGAATGTGTGTCAGGCTGCTACAGCACCCCGTGGCCCACCCTGTGCTGCAGGAGTCCCACGGCCCTCATAGCCTTTGTGAGGGCCAGGAAAACCCCCACGGCTCTAGGGGGGCCCGCGCGCAGGAGCTGCGCAGACCCAGGCTGGGGCACGGGCTCTGGCAGACACCTGCCAACAGGTGATGGAGCCACGTGAGTGTGAGGAAATCAACCTGGAGCAGAAGCACTTCCCAGATACACGGAGAGACAGACAGACAGACCGCGGCAGGCGCGTCCCGGGTGAGCGGGTGGGCTGGCGGAGGCAGGCACGCAGCGAAGCCCCTCGGCGGGCGAAGCGGCGAGCGGAGGCAGGTTCCCCCCGCGTGGCGCGGAAGCACCGGGCAGCGCCAGCGCGGCACTTACGGTTGGGGCACCGGTTCCGCGGCGTGGTGGTGGGGACGTGCCGGGAGGCCAAGGCAGGGAGATGGGGCAGCTCGGGGGCTGGGGTGCAGAGCCCCCTCCTCGCTGCAGTGAGGACATGTGGAAGGGGTCCAGGCAGCAGCTTCAGGGCTGGTGTGGTGTGTCTGGCTGTCCAGTGCTGAGGAGCCTGCAATGTCCTCCTCTGGCACATCAGCTGCAGTGGGGTGCACCACGGGGCCAAGGCAGTCTCCTCCTTTGGGGTGCAGGGGCTGAAGCCGGCAGGTTAATTACAAAAGAGTGCTAAGTGGTTAGATCCAAACAGGGAACTGTTTTCCTGGTGTCCGGCTCGGCTGCGCCGTGTGCGAGCAGCGGCGGGATTGGCGCAGCCAGGAGCAGGAACGGTGTCCGGCTCCTGGGGCACAGGGTGGGGAGGGTAGTGTGTGTTGTCTCTTGTCTCTTAATATACAAACACTGTCAGCACATTCTCATATATTAATTTATTAGTCTTGTCTTTTTGGTTAAACTTGAGGCACTGCTTTGGGAGAAGAGTGGAGGTTCAAAATTAAAAAAAAAAAATACTAGTGATTAGCCAGCAGCGTTGCCACATGCGGAGCGGGTGAGGCAGCGCCTCGGGGGGCTGGCAGGTCTCAGGCCACGTGGAGCAGGGGCCCACACGCCCCGGAGCACTCCCTGCTCTCCTCCCACCCACAGCTTCTGGATGAGGCCAGGGCGAGGGCAAGGGCAGCCACCTCCATGGCGCCCTGGGTGCCCCCGGCGTATCTGCGCCCGAAACTCGAGGAGGAGTAGGAGGAGGAAGAGAAGGTCATGGAGAAGCCGGAGCCGGTGGCGTCGAAACTGCCACGCCGGGAGCCTGAGCGAGAGCCGGTGCGAGAACCCGAGCGCGAGCCAGAGGTGGAGCCGGCGCTGCTGATGTTGTAGGGACTGTAGTAGCCCTTGCTGGACTGGGAGGAGGCCTCCAGCAGCCGCAGGCCGGTCCCATCCTCGATCATGCTCCGGTCCATGGCGTCCTTGTAGGAGATCTTGAGCTTGGTCTTGGGGCAGGTGAGGTACTTGGAATAGGTGTTGACATCCCGCAGCTTCTGGGCAGTCCTCGCGTCAATGGTGCCCTTCTGCAGCGCCTCATCCAGGGAGACGCGGCCCGGGGCATCGGGCTCGATCAGGCCCCCTGTCAAGTACTGCACCTCCAGGAACCGCTGCCCGGCCTCGTAGTACAGCCAGCCCTTCTTCAGTGCCTGCGCCGCCGACATCTTTGTCTTGGTCCGCGGGTCCTCAAAGCCGTAGAAGGCCTTCTGCGCCAGGTTGATGCGGTCCACCATGATCTTGTCCACCAGGCCCTTGGTGACCGCGTCAGCGACGGTGCATTTGTCACCGGTGTTGGGGTCGATGATGCCCCCGGTGCAGGCCTGGGCTTCCAGCAGCCGCTGCCCTGTGATGTTGTCCACCAGGTTGCGGCGCATCGCCTCGGTGATGGACACCTTCTCCAGAGTGTCCGTGTCCAGGATGCCTGCCACTGGCCCAGTCTCTTCGGTTGGGTCAGTCCACATGGAGATCTGGGTCCGTGACAGGGCTGGGCTGACGGTGTAGGAGGAGGAGGATCCAACTGAGGACGACCGTGACCGGAAGCCACCCATGTTGCCAGAGAGCATGTCAGCAAACTCGGTGATGGAGAGGGTGCCCGAGCGGTACTGGTCCAGGGCTGACTGGTCAATCAGACCCTTGCCAATGGCATCGTCGATGTCATACTGGCGGCCCGAGCGCCTGTCGATGATCATTGACTTCACCACGCCATCGGAGGAGGAGGTGGTGATCTCCTCCCACTCGCACTCCTGCTCTGACAGCTCCAGGTAAGTCTGGTGGTCTATGAGGCCCTTGCGATAAGCTTCGTACACGGACATCTCCTTGCCCGTCTCCGGGTCAACGATCACCACCCGGCGCTTGCGGACGGAGGACTTGGAGGAGGTCTTCCTCTCCCGCTTTTTCTCCTTCAGAGGCAGGAGGCAGAGGCCAGTCTCTGGGTCTGTGATGCACCGCTCCATGAGCTGCAGGTAGGTGAGGTTCTCCTCTGTGTTGGGGTCGAAGAAGCCCTTGGTGTCGTCACTGGGGTCCAGCAGGATTTCGTTCATCTCCTCATCAAAGAGGCCCCGCTTGTAGGCCACCTCCACGGGCAGGCGGTGGCTCTCCTCAGGGTCAATGATGCCTCCCGTGGCGATCTGTGCCTCCAGCAAGCGGATCCCGTGGTCCTTCAGGATCAGACCCTTCTTCATAGCCTGGAAGAGGGAGATGAGCTTTCCGGTGTAGGGGTCCCGGTAGCCGGTGACGGCCCTCTCAGCAGACAGGAGCTTGTCCTTGAACTCCGGGCCCACAATGCCCATGCGCACAGCTTCCTCCACTGTCAGCTTGAGGCCCTTGATGGGGTCAATCACGTAGCCCGTGGCCGCCTGCGCCTCCAGGAGCTCGAAGGCAGTGCCGGGCCGGATGATCCCCTTCTTCATGGCCTGGTAGATGGACAGACGCTCCTTTGTGGAGTCCACAAAGACGCCAGCGATGCAGCTGGTGCCCTCCAGGAACTTCTTCAGGTTCTTAGAGACCTCCTCAACAGAGGTGAGACCCTCCTGGAGGCGCTGGGCTGTGGCCTCATCCATCACCTGCGAGAGGACCAGCTCCTCCACAGTGATCTGTTTCCGCAGCCCCCGGAAGGTGAGCTTCCGTGTGTCGCAGAGCGGGAGCAGGAGGAGCCTGGAGCTCTCGTCCTTCCGGCACCGCTTCAGCAGCTGGGTATAGCTGAGCTTCTCGTCTGTGGAGGGGTCCACGTAGCTGCGCACCTCGCTGGGCTCCGACAGCATGTCGTACGTCTCCCTGTTGATGAAGCCCCGCTGGTAGGCCACCTCCAGGGGCAGGTGGAAGCCCAAGTGAGGGTCAATTCCGCCACCGGTGGCGATCTGGGCGTCCAGGAGCTTGAGGGCCTCTTCGCTGGGAATGAGATCTTTCTTCATGGCCTGGAAGAGGGAAATCTTCTGTTCGCTGTATGGATCTCTGTAGCCGGTCACAGCCCTCTCAGCAGACAGGAGCCGGTCGTGGATCTCTGGCCCCACCACACCCTTCCTCACCGCCTCATCCACAGTCAGCATTTCATTCTTCGTGGGGTCAATAATGAAGCCGGTGGCTGCCTGGGCCTCCAGGAGGGAGCGGGCCACTTCGGAGTTAATCAGCCCCTTCTTCAGCGCCTGGTAGACACTGAGTGTCTGCTTGGAGGAGGGGATGTAGATGCCAGCCACGCAGCCCGACCCGTAAAGGTACTTCCAGACAGTCTCCACGTCCAGGAGCTCCCGGAAGGTTTTGGAGCCCTGTTTCAGCAGGTTGTAGATGTCCTGTGAGATAATCTTGGCCTCGTAGAGGTCCTCGGCTGTGATGCGGCGCCGGACGTAGTCATAGGATGTGAGGTTCTGCTGCCGGATGATCTCAGTCTTCTCGATGATCTCGATGATAATGATGATCATGCGCTCCTTGGACACGCGGCCCGACTGGAACTCCTCCATGAGATGTTTACGCTGCTCCTCAGGCAGCAGGTCCGAGTGCATGATCTCCCACAGCGACATGGAGGAGCCTGCCCGGCTGCCCACAGGGATGTCCACCTGTGTCTCCTCAAACACCTTCCGTGTCTCAGCTTCTGTGTACATGTGAGTGGTTTCCACCACTTTTGGCTTCTCAGGCTCCCGCAGAGGCAGCAGGTATAGCCCCGTCTCGGGGTCCTCGATGCACCTCTCCTTCAGCTGCAGGTAGGTGAGGTTCTCCTGAGTGTTGGGGTCGAAGAAGCCCTTGGTGTCATCGGTGGGGTCGGAGAGGGTCCGGTTCATCTCCTCGTCGAAGTAGCCGCGCTTGTAGGCCACCTCCACGGGCAGGCGGTGGCTGTGCACGGGGTCGATGATGCCGCCCGTGGCGATCTGGGCCTCCAGCAGGCGGATGCCGTGCTCCTTGACAATAAGCCCTTTCTTCATGGCCTGGAACAGGGAGATGGTATCGCCCGAGTAGGGATCCTTGTACCCCGTGACAGCCTTCTCAGCCGACAGCAGCTTCTCGTGCAGCTCAGGCCCGACGATGCCAGCCTTCACCGCCTCGTTGACGTACAGCTTACGGTTCTTCACAGGGTCAATCAAGAACCCAGTGGCTGCCTGGGCCTCCAGGAGGACCACGGCAGTGCTGGGCCTCAGCAGGTTCCTCTTCATGGCCTCGTAGATGTTCAGCTTCTCCTTGGTGGCTTCCACGTAGACACCGGCAATGCAGTCACTGCCGTGCAGGAATCTCCTCACCGCATCTGTCTCAGAGAGGTCCTTCACTGATTTCTTGCCTTCCTTCAGCTGCTCGTACTGGGTTTTGCTGATGATGCGGGACTCCAGCAGCTCGCTGGCAGGCACCGGTGCACGCAGACCGCTGAATGTCAGTTTCTCCTGCTTTTTGGTCTCTGCCTCCTCGATGATGGTGATCACGATCTTGATGATCTTCTCGATTGTCACTTTGCCAGTCTTGTACTGTCGGAGCAGCTCCCGCCTGTGCTCCTCTGTGAAGTATTCAGAGTGGATCAGCTCCCAGATGGTCATTGTCTGGCCCTTCATGCTGCCCACCGGGACCTCTATGGTTGCTTTGTCGAAGCACTC